CCCCCGTTCACTGAAGGGACTTCCTGTTTGTGACACTATTGACTGAGCATTGTCCCCCCAAACTTCCTGACGTCCAACATGGTAAATTCCAGCACTGTGACCTACAGGGTGGGTTTGGACCTGCAAAACCACAATGAGTATTTTTGTTTTAGTTGAGCAACACTTGTCAGCCTGGAGGGTAAATGTGCTTGAGCAACAGTGAGGCAAACAGGCATCAAAGGTCTCATGTCTCATCACCTTGTGGAGCTTTGGGAACGATTGTGAAAAAGGGTGTGTGTTACACTTCTCACCTTATTCTAAATTTCAAGCTTTGCTGCTAGCGCTCCTGGTCTGAGACAAAGTAAAAATGACTTGTTAACTGGGCACACCCTCAAAAGATGACGGCCTAGGTGGGCACATGATTGTGGCAACAGAATCAAACATTGCCGTCAGTTTCAGCTCACTGAAATTACAGTGTGAATAGAGCGATTGCGCAATGCATGTTTTGAAGGTTTGAGCTGTTCCCTAGCAGATGAAGGAAGCGTGTGGAACACGAAACGAGTCATGATGGATTCTTCCTCTGCGTGTCACTTCTGGTGCGACCCACGTCTCTGGTGTCTTTTTGGTCAGCAGCATCGCCACACTTCCTGTCTTGACAGTTGAAACATCTCCTAAAGGTTCAGCAAGGCCAGGCAGAGTCACATGACAGCGGCAGAGTGGAGGTCAGAACACAGCTTTGTGCCAAGCATCTGTCACTGCTGACGGATGACCCCACCATCACCCCTGCCAGGTCCCGTTTACGTGCTTCCTCCACTTTGGGGTCATGGGCCTCCATTAGCTTACTATCATTTCAGCTGCTTTCTGTTTCAGTGCCACTGTCAGCAGAGTAATTGTCTGGTGGATTTCTGTGTTTTGAGAACATTGGTCACATAGGCTATGTACCTCACAGGGTTTGGCTGTGGACTAGGCTTTAACGTATGTTAAATAGCAACTAAAACATATTTATAGAGGGCTGGCCATAATTTATTACTCAAGTTGTTTAACTCATGGAAGGAATATATCCAATGGTGAAATGGTTTTTGTTTAGAAGCATTTACTTATCGGCTATTAAATGAATAATGTAATTTTTAATAAATGTTATCTGAATGCAATAGTCATTCTTAGCCTTTTTGTATGCAAATAGATTATAAAGCACTTATCAAATTTTGGTTAAAAAGAAAAATATTCATTTATAAAAGTCATGTCCATGACGTTAAATGTAACATTTTAAAAATGCATAGCATAGTCAAATTGTAAGTTATAAGAAATTTAAAAATAAGTTTGCCATCTTCAATCTTTAATGCGATTTTATTGATGTAATATATTAAATTAACTGTCCAGACATGGCTACGTAAGAGCTTAGCTGCTCAGAAAAACCAATTTACACAGCAGCTCAGTAGGGATGAGGCTTCTTATCCTGTTCTTTGGTGATGGAAAGGGTCAGAGGGCTGTGAGATTTTGATCGAGATGTCTGTCTGCATGTCTGGTTCTATGTTTTTGGCTGGACCTTATTGGTATAGTCTCATCAGTGGTGGGGTTTACCACCACTCAAACCACACATTTGTGTGGGGGCCCAAAATTTGGGCCCCCTGTTGGCCTCCAACAGTCACTACACTAAACATTAAATAAACATGTTGCTTATTTAGGAGATGCTGAAGCAGCATGTTATGCTAACCAGCAAGCTAGCTACCATCTTCTGATTCTATGCGCTAGCTATTTATTTAGTTTTGGATCATTTGAGGTGGGTCTCATTACAGTTATGTCATTGAGAATGAATGTATTGCAGAAGTTATTATTTTAGGGTGCGTTAATCTGCTGATCCTACACAATCCTACATTCGCTGATCCAAAAGCTGTCCCAGGTTGGCCTAAACACCTCATTATACAATTTAATTCTGGACTTTTTGCAGGGAGACCACAATCAATCAGGGTTGGCAATAAAGTGTGAGATACCATCAAACTAAATGCAGATACCTGGGTGTGTCCTCAAGCCTTTGTGTTACACTCTGGTACTTCATGACTCATGATTGTCCTCCTAAGTGATAGTTATGAAAGTGAATACAGGCAGGAAGTGGATCAATTAGTAAACTTGTGGAGTCATGCTAGTATACTGTTGCTCAGTGTGATAAAAATTAAGGAAATAACAATAGACTTCAGGGGAACATGACAGCAGAACAAGCCACGGCACATCAGAGGCTCTGTCATAGTAGAGTAAACAATATTACATTCCTTATACCACACCTTACTGAGGGCCTCTCCCTAACCCAGCACACATCCTTCCTGGTCAAGAAGGCCCCTCAACTTCTTGCAGTAACTGAGGCAAGCCATAGCCTCTGCTCTCCTCTCACGACCTTTTAGCCCCTTTCTCTCTAACCTCAGGTTCTAGCCCCAAACCCAAAATGGTCGTGTTGGGAAACTGTCAAGCTCCTAAACATCATGGGCCCCTAACAATCTTTGTCTGTACTTAATAAAAGGTGTGACCACCCCTCCCAACCAATTGTATCTCCCTCCAGCGCAAAATACTCTAATGGCCTCAGGGTGTCACTTGAAGATTTATTTTCAGTCTATTGAATGTATTGAATGGATCCTGTATTGAATTAATCTTGTCATGTTTACTCCCTTTAATGGTCTATGGGCCTCTATTACTGTTTTATACCTCTATGTTTAACATGCCTATGTGCCATTGTACTTTTTATTTCTCTGCTATGCTATGGCCTTGATGAAATGAAATGTCATTCCACTGTGCAAACATGTGTGTCTCCTGCAGCTGCGAATGACAGCAATGTGAACTCTGACTTTGCCTAGACTAAATGGCTGGCACAAATGACACCTGACAGCTGACCTACTGTCTACAGTGTGTCATATGTTTCCTGTGAGTGACACCGGTGCCTGAGCTGTTTACAATGAGCCAGAGGTCTGCGGCTCACAAGTCACAATGGCATGGTCGGCCACCGTAGGATGAAGCATATGGCCTGGGTGAAACAAGTCCTGTGAACCTTCTCCTTGTCCCAGATGAGGGACAAGAACTCTGCCCTTGAGCCCCTGAGAGAAAAGCTCCATGTGTGGTATTGTCTAGGGGAAAAGATTCAACGATTACTGTCTTACTGCATTTAATTTCACCCTCCTTAACATGCCTCGGCAGAGAGCCATAGCTGCTTCCGGTGTTTCCCGAACCACAGTCGGGTCTCTGGAGCTCTGCTGATCCCACTCTGCCCCACGCACTCTCCCAGAACCAGTACACAGTCACAAAGTACGTCAATTATGAAAAAAGTCAAATGGCCGACTGGCTAACTGCCCACATCTGTCAATAAAGCGGCTTGATGATTTGTCATTAGATGTCCATTCCACTGAGAATCATCCAGATGGAGCTGAGCAAGAAAAA